TGAGACATGTGTTCATAACAAAAGCTTTGGATTCCTTCCCTGGGTAGAAAATGGCAAGTCAAAAACCTCTTCTCAGTGGGGGTGTGGTGGTATATACTTATAATCCCAGCACTTAGGAGGAGGTAGGTGGATTTGGAGTTCAAGGACAACCTTGGCTCATAACTACTTTGAGGCTAGCCTGGACTACATGAAAATAAATTTCCTCCTAAAGCACAGATTTTATCTTTATTTTTTTCTTTAGTGTGCACTATGATCAAACCAGCAGGAGAAATTTCTCATTAAAAACACCCCATTTTAGGCCTAGGGAGATGGCTGAGTAGGTAAAGTGCCTGCTCTGCAACTATTAGGCCTTGAGTCCGAGTTCAAATTCTCAGCACCCATGTAAACACTGGGCATGACAGCCCACACTTTTACCTCCAGTGCTGGGGGTGATGGTGCAGAGACAGTAAAACCCCAGGAGCTTGCTGGCCAACAAGTTTAACTGAAATGGTGAGGTCCAAGTTCAGTGAGAGACCATGTCTCAAGGCAGAGAGCAATAAAGGACAGCATCTGACATCAACCTCTGGTCTCCATACAAGTGCACCCACACACAATAAACACATGCATACACTACTACATACACACATACATACACCACCACCACCACCACCACCACCACCACCATCCTCATTTAGACCAGTGCCTGTTGTTATTCCTTGTGTCCAATCTCTGACCCAGGTGTAGTTTTTAAGATTTGTTGTTGAGGACTCTTTAAGAAGCCCAGATTATGGTCACTGAGCCCCATTTATCCCAAGATGTATTCATATGTCCCCAGTTGATTAAGCAGGTATGAATGTTCCCTACATAAATCATGGTATTTTTCTTAGCAGATTATTAGCTTAAGTGTTCAGCCAGTTGAACCTTCTCAGCACAGGTGCCAGGGCAACCCTAGGACCCTTTCACACAGAGTTCAGAGAGGCTTTCCTGGAGAGTGCACAGGATCATGGGGCCTAATATTGGTTCTTTTAAGAACAGGCATATGTATGTCACAGAGACCCTGTGCAAGATTGCTGGAGTCCTTTCAGCTTTGAAGTTCATGGAGCAAAGAATCACTGTGTGAGATTAGAAAAACTTTTCAACAAGATGTCTCCTGGTGGCCCTGGGCTCCTTCATCTATCCTCAGCTCGGCCAAGACACCCACTACCTTCCACAGCCATTCACCTGACTCTTTCTCAAGGCTGGGAGAACTCTATAGGCGGCCAGCTAGACAAGCTTCATTCCTTCCTGATTCAGACAACATGGAGTATGAGAAAAGAGATCACAGAAAGATAAGCATCATTTGAAGTGAGCAGCCTCTGATGGAGGACTTGGCTCTGTTCCCAATCTGTTTCTTGCATTTTTTTTAATCTGGGTGTCACCATTGGGCAAGTTACCCAACCTCTAGACCTGTTTGATGAGATGGTCTCTAATCTGCAGAACTGTTTGTGTGGTAATCAAGGAGGCCCGGTACTAGTGTCAGGCACATATTCTTCCTCTATCTCCCTTCTGTCAAGGTATTACAGGTGATGACTGAAAAGCAAATAACTTGGTTTTCTTATCATAGTAAAATATGCCTAAATGACTGCTGCTGCTGCTGTCGCAAGGTACTCAGAATGAAATAGAAAAGTAAACCATTTTCCATTCCCTTTCAAAGGAGGGGCTAGAGCAGGGGTCTAAAAAGTCTGTAAAGACACATATTGCATTGAAAAGAGCATTGAGATCCTCATATGTGTTCAGAAAATCACCCACTGACCATGACTGTAGCCAATCTGGCACTAAAATGCCCTGTGCAGGGAGTCCCTATGAACTGCAGGTTTTAGTCAGCTTTCGGTTATCTATGGTGAGGCAGAAAGACAAATCCCAGGCAGTGGTAAATCTAAGAAATTCTACTGGTTCTGGAATGCATTTTATATGCAATTTTTTTTTCTTGGCAGGAGACTTACCTTCCTAATTATGTTTCCCTTAGGCTATTATTAAAATCAGTTTGCATTCTCCAAGCATATGCCAGTGACAGCTGGAGGATGTCAGTCCACAAGTGACAGGGTAAGTAAGGTCTACCTGGGATTAAGTGTTGGAAAATAGACTATCAATCAATGGATCGATCAGTCAATTGATCAGAGTATGTAGGTCTCTGTATACACATAGATCTTTTAACACTATCACACAAGAAACCTAAGAATTATGAATAACATGGAAAAACAAGGAAGTTGATCAAAAGGCACCCCAGAGATCAGCGAACACAATTGTCAAATCTTTCTTGGGTCAACACGTACATACCATTTTTCTTGGGTCATTGTTTATCAGCTTTTACCTGCTAGGATTTATGCATGAAGATCTTATTCTATCATGCTTATGCATTTTTTTCATATTTCCTATCAGTTATTAAGAAATACCCCAAATAAGGCTAAATGCGTAATTCAGTGGTAGAACATTTGCTTAATATGTACAAAGCCCTAGATTTCTTCTCCAACACCAGAAGGAAAGAAAGGAACAGAAGGAATGATGAGAAAGACAAGAGTATTCAGGCACATGATAAGCTCCTGTAGTCCTACCTGAGGCAGGAGGATCACTTGACCTCAAGAGTTGAGAGGCATCCTGAGCAACATAGCAAGGCCTCCATCTTAAAAAAAAAATAATCTTCAAAAGTACAGTGCAACATGTATTTAATTCCACATATGGCCATTCATAATGAGAAATAGATTTCCATAGATTTTACTGATCAACGATGATCTCAGCAGTCTCTTCAAATACTGATCCATAAACATTCAATTCACATAAAAACCGTATTTTCATATTGTAATAATTCCTTAACCATGGAACAGGTATCTTCACGCAATAGCCAGGATCCATTTACACATTTTCCTAATACTGTCATCTCCATCCTGTGTGGTGGCTGATAATGCTGAAGGCATCAGAGGTTGAGAAAGCATAACGAGTACTTTAAGCTAGGAGATTATGCATCCAGTCCAGGTCAGAACACCTCCTTTGATCCATTCTCAGACATTACTAATAGTGCTCATCATGGTCTGTGTTCTAAGACAGTCTTCCACACTGTTTTTCAGTATTGTCTTAAATAGTAAGACTGAAACTTAACAGAATGGATGGCTCCTCTTTCTATCTGGTATTGGAGTCTTGAAAAACTACTGAGATGAATCTGGGCCAAAATGTAGTAAGATCAAATTATAGCACGAATGAGAAGCCATGCCCTAGCATACAAACCCTAAACTTACCTATAGATCTGTTATCATTAGGGTCCTCTATTATCATTATACTGCAACTGACACAAAGAATTGTGACATTGTAGAGCATAAAATAGGAGCTTCTGCACAAAAAAGGGGAAAATTTGTACTGATATTTGCTTTTCTATGCATCAAGACACTTCAGAGGAAGACACACATAACCATAGTTAATAAGTTTGCTTGGGGTGTGTGTCTGGGAAGATGAATGCAAGAGGAGAGATAAACTCACTCATTACCTTTATATATGTTTTGTTTTTATATTTTGATTTTTTTTTGAGAGAGGGTCTCACATTGTAGCTCAGGTTGGCCTGGAACTTATAGCAATGCTCCTGCCTCTGGTCCTGAGTGATGATGGGATTACAGCTGTGAATTACTACACCTGGTTCCCAGGTTTTGTTTTTTAAATCTTGTAAGGTATATTATGTAATTAAACACTGAAGCAGATAAATAAATCTTATGTCATCTGCCTCACCGATGAATTTGAATTCCATCTATTATTCATCCTTCAACTAGTTTCTCTCTCTCTCTCTCTCTCTCTCTCTCTCTCTCTCTCTCTCTTGAAGGTGATGAATTTGAATTCCATCTCTTATTCATCCTTCAACTAGTTTCTCTCTCTCTCTCTCTCTCTCTCTCTCTTTCTCTCTCTCTCTCGGTTGAAGGTGGTGGGGGAAGAGGATCTCGTGTATCCCAGGCTGACTTCAAACGTGCTGTATAAATGAGGATGAAAACTTGACATTCTGCTGTTCTTGCCCTCACTGCCAGGTATGCTCCACCACACCCAATTTATGGGGTGCTAGACAGTGAACCTAGTGTTTTGTTCATGCTATACAGGCATTGTACCAACTGATCTACATCCTCAGCCCCCTTAAACAAGCTTTACAAGAATAGAAGGATTTTTTTAAAAAAAATTGGGAGTTCAAAAGCTGAATTTGTAAGATTATTATGCAATGCAATTACATTTTCCCCGCTAAGTTCTAAATTGCCTGTTTTCTGAGTGCTTTTCTATTGCTTCCAATAGGGTAAAAAGTTCTGTGTTCATATTTGCTGAACAATGAAATCTCCCTTTATCTCTTTACACACACACACACACACACACACACACACACACACACACCCCTCATCAATATAAAAGGGAAAGTAGAATTTTGTGTGGCACCATCTATACTTATTTTAATTTTGATTTGATAATCACAAATGGCAATTTATTCTCATGTAAAGGTTTATGTTTCTAGAAGTCTAATTAAAGTTAAAATGTATAATCAATTCTTTTTTTTCTCTTCTATCCAAATAAGAGGTGCTGGCTTATTGATTTAAAATAAAATATTTCTTTAATTTTTTTGCCTTGTATCCCCTTTCTGCCAATCTCCTCCATTAAAAAAAATGAAGTGTCTGAAAGAAAAATACTTTATAAATGACTTGGTAAAACTCAACTCCTTCACATGCTGCTAACTTTGGAAAAGTCAGGACTTCTCACAAGGCTTTTATTCTGCCTCATACTCCAAACTCTAAAGGTTTTCAAATATTCAACTTGCTTTTATTCTTTTTATGTGGGGAGGCGGGGGGTGTCAGGGTAAGCCTGCCAGCTGGTTAGAAGCCAAGACTTATCCAGTCAGACCTGAATGGAAAAATCTATGATTTGTTTATTTCATAGTTCAAGTTCAAAAGCAAAAGACAATTGAAATAATAAAAGGGTAAAAGGAAAAAAATGTAAAGAAAGAAAACAAATCAGTAAGAGTCCAGAAAAACCTTCAAGAATATTTAATTCGGAAAATGTTATTGGTTTGGAGGACTTAACTGAAAGAAAACAGCTGGGCAGAGTTCAAGGTTTTAAATTAAAAACAATCTAACAAGGTCTATAGGGATAACTCTTTGAGCCATATTTTGGAGACCAGATTCATTTCTACCAAGTAAAAGGAATAGCAGCCTAAGCTAAAAAGGAAATTCCTCACAACTGAGGTAGTTACTAAGTATCAGCACATTTTCCAAGTTCTCACAAGGCAGCCCAGCTATTTACAGTTATTTTTCCTCATATAATGGAAAGCCTTCTTAATTTTGTTTTCTGATTTTCTTAAAAAAAAAAACACTTATACACACCAGCCAGAATATGCCTATTTTATTAACATCATGCTTTAATAAATAACTGGCTACTTCTAATAAAATTAAGCCTCTGTTTACAACAGTTCCCCAATATTTCATTTTGACCCTTCTTCAGAATTTGGTGTAAAAAGTTGAATGAAATGTAGACCCTGAGCTATCAAGTAATTATGTTTCAATATAAAAATAGAGAATTACTCTTACAAGTGAAGATTGAACAATAACACAAAACAACCTCTCCGGGTTTTTGGTTCTGTAGAATTCTGGGGTCTTAATGAATTCTAGAGTAGGAAGAGACTTGCAGGATTGTAGTCTTTCTGAAGACTTTTGAGAACTCTTTTTGAAATGATCTGTTACATTCTCAGAGTTTTATTTGGTAAGGACATAAGGGTTTCCCAAGGGGGCAAGTCAGTGGTCAGTCTTTGGCCTGAGACAATAGATTGGGTCTTTGCCAGTTCACCCATGTAGCTAAGGGTCACTGATAAGATGTCCTCCTCTCATCTTTACCTATTCCCATTCCTGTCCCAAAATATAAATTAAAAAAAAAATCTGGAAACCTATTCTCCTTTCATCCTTGTCTGGAATGGAAAGGAAATGGCTGCACACCACTCCAAAACCTTTGTTTCATTGATTAGAAAGGGGTGGGCAAGAAAAAAATCAAATTAGACACCTAACACTCCCTTAAAATACTGGAATCTTAAAAAAAAAAAAACGCAAATATACATGCATAGACAAAAACTTTGAGTGTCGACAGCTATTCCCTGAGCCCAGGCTATACCCCAGTACTGGCTAGCTGCCAGACTGCTCCCTTTTATGGCACTCTTCCTAGAGAGGTCAGTGGGTTAAAAATCCGGACCACACTAACAAGGGGAAACCAAATGAAGTTTAGTCACTTCGTACTACCATTGGGATAAAAAACCGAGTGTCCGTGTGGACATGAAAACTGGCATACTGTGGCCTGCAAACTTGCCTTGTTTTTAAAAACCACCCCCAAATCCAAGTGTGTACAGGTGATAACGGACATCCTGAGTGCCTTTTATCTTTCACAGGACACTACATCAACAATATTTAATGGGATACACTTTGAGTATGAGCGGGTCCAAAAAATCGACCTATATGTGATCTTAGCTTATGTAATTCAACTCAGTCAAAATGGTCAGATAGTCTGCAGTCTCTTCCAACTCCCAACTATGAACAAAGTCGAAATTTCTTCTTGTATTGGTGTTGGAATACAATCTGACAAGTGGCTCAGAGGCCTGCCTGCACCTTCACATTCTGTCCTAACTTAATAGAAACAAACAAACAAAAGAAAGAAAGAAAACCCAAGTCACCTCCACATCTCTCCAGATAAGGCAGCTAAAATAACAAGGGTAAATGGAAATTTTACGGCTTGTTGGGCTTTTTCTTTTAATAAGATAACATGATAAATAAAACCTGCTTCTGTACAGCTATTTAATATTTCAGAAATACGTACATGTTACATGCCAAGAAAGGACCCTGGTTTTCTTGTAAGAAACAAGGTGAGATCATAATTGGAAAAGAAAAACCCCACAAACAAAATGAGAAAAAAACAAAAACAAAAACAATAGAGTGATAAGATCACAAATGCACAACTAACTACAGTTCTGTACCTACACTGTTAGCCACGTTTAACACGGCTCTGAGGGAGCAGGAACGAATTTAAATGTAGTAGTCCCTTCTGTCCCCCTGAACTGAATGAAAAAAAAATGTCAACTCTGTTTAAACCAGTGGCCACATAGTAAAAACTGTACATTGTTGTCCATTCATTTAAAAAGCAAAGTCACTAGGATGGTAGAAAAGTGATAACCGGTGCCCTTTAACTTTCTGAAGATGAACACTTTTACTCAGAGTTTGACAATTATCTCCATTCTCTCTGCATAACCAGGAACAAGATGCAGAGGACAGTGAGGAGGTACGGCTGTGCCTCTGCATGGGCACCAGCGCTGTCGGCTTTCTCGTTGGCACTCTTCCCAGAGTGGTCAGTGGCATTGGACTCAAACTCCGAAGGGCACTGCTGATATTCACATCCACTTCCACTTCCTTCACCACTATTTTCATCACCTACATTGAAAAGGATGCAACAGAGATTTCATTACATATGTTCTTACCAAGTCATACAAGAACAACTCATACTCAAACCTGCAGACTGGGGCTAGAGAGTTAGCTCAATGGTTGAGTGCTGGGGGCTCTTACAGAGGACCCAGGTTCAAATCCCAGCATGCACATGGTGGCTATCACCCATACCTTACAGAGGATCTGGGTGTGAATCCTAGCACCCACGTGGTGGCTAACAACTATCTGTAACTCCAGTTCCAGGGGAATCCTATGTTCTCTTCTGATTTCCAAGGGCAATGAATGACACAGGTACCCTTTCATACATGCAGTTAATACACACACACACACACACACACACACAAAATAAAAATTATAATTTTTTTTTAAAAAAAGCTACATAGACTTACTGATATCAAAGAAGTCCACATCATTCCCATTGTAAGCATTCTTCATTTTACTGGTCATAACACGAAGAGCCATGATTTGACGAAGGATCAGTACATCTGGTTTGCTGGTGTCAACCTGGACCTCTGGGTTGTTGCCCTGGTTGGCTAGTCCATTTCCTGTCACTGCAAACAGGTATCTGAAGCAAGAAATTGCCCCATTAGAATGATCAGTAAAATGAATGTAAGAGATCAAGGATTTCTGCTAGATTTTAAGATTTCCACTGAGCAGAGTTAAATAGAAGTTCTTCCATTTATAATGAACTCTAATTGCTGCTTTTCCTGGGCATGTGTTGTTTCTACTATCTGACCATGATCTTTGTGAAAGTGATGCTTTATGTGGAGATTGTTGTATCAAAGGAAAATACCCTCTGAATGAATGTTTATTTCAGTTTGGGAGTGTGTCAGGAAGGGGACACAGGGAATTATCAATAAAGAGAATGCAGGGGCTGGTGAGGTGGTTCCACAGTTAAGAGCACTTGCTGCTTTTGCAGAGAACCTGGATTTGGTCCTCAGCACCTATATGGTACACTTAACATACATGTAGGCAAAACACTCATACACATAAAAAACAAATAAATCAAAAAATTTTTTAAAAAGATTGTGATCTGCTGGGTGTGGTGGTACACACCTTTAATCCTAGCGCTTGGGAGGCAGGAGATGGATCTCTGTGAGACTTGAGGCCAGCCTGGTCTACATAGTGAGCTCCAGGCCATCTAGAGCTACAGGAAGATCCTTTCTCAAAAAAAGACAAAAAGAATGTGACTTTTTGAGAACTGGTACTTTATAAAACTAGTCCACTGGACCAAGAGCCACAGGCACTAAATGTTTAAAAATAATGACTCCAGCTGAGTATCCCTGGTGCTAAAATACAACCACGGTCAAGTCCAGTTCCTTTTCTATGTAGTCGAGTGCCCTTTTGAACACTTGAATGGCAAAACCCATGCCTAAGGACATTCAGAAGGTTTCTGTGTCATGCTACCTAGAGTAAAGTGCTTCTTTTGGGTAACGGCTGAGAAGATGAGGCATGAATAGAGAAGCTGCAGACCCCTGGACAGAGGCTGACCTGCTTTTGCCTTTGCCATTCCAGCAGTCATCCTCATTGCCGTTTCCTGCTGCCATCCTCTCATCATTGCAAATGCTGCTCGGGAGGGAGGACCAGAACTTCTTGGCTTGTTTCAGTTTCTCCTTGACATCAGTAACCTGAGTAAGAAAATGAAAAAAAAAAAGGGCCCATTCATGTACACAATGTAAAAACACCATGAATCATCCCAGGACTCAGGAGGCTGAGGCAAGAGGATTGTTGTGAATTTGTGGGCAGCAGTGGCTGATCTATACAATGAATTACTGGTCAACTTGTGATAAACAGCAAAGCCCTGTCCCATTTTCTTCCGTGCTGTAGCCACTGCTAAGGTACCTATGCTCCTGTAAATAGCCCTTTACCCACGCTTCTGTAAACAACACTAATGGAATTCACTGGGTCATATATAAAGACATCAAAGTAGAAGGGGGAAGAAGTGGAAACAAGAAGGGGTAATAGAGAGAAATATGATCAAAATACATTATATAGGAGGCTGGAGAGATGGCTCAGTGGTTAAGAGTGTGTACTGTGCTAGCAAAACACCTGGATTTGCTTCCTAGCACCCACATTAGGGAGCTCAAAATTGACTTGAGCTCTACAGCATCTAATGGCCTCTTCTGGGCTCTATGGACATGTGCACAAATCCACACAGAGATACAGATACATAAATATAAATAAATCCAAGCTTTCCAATTTTATTTATTATATTAACTTTAATTTTATGTATATGAGTGTTTTGCCTGCCTGTATGTAAGTGCACTCATGTTGTGCAATGCCCACGGAGGTCAGAAGAGGGTGTTGGATCCTCTGAAACTGGTGTAACAGGCAGTTGTTAGCCACCATGTGGGTGCTGGGAACCGAACCCAGGTTCTCTGCCAGAGCAGTCAGTGTTCTTAACCACTGAGACATCTCTGCGGCCCCATAAATCCAATCTTTAAAAATGCATTATATGCATGTTAAAAACAAATAACCAAAAACTCTTGTCTCAGAAATCAAACCAAACTAAAATTACCTATAGATGTACCTTCTGATCACGTCTAAATCTCCTTGGAATGGTATGTCACTCATTTCCAATTGTAGGCTAAGAAAAATATGCAGATCAAATTCATACTTAGAAATGCACAATCACTCAGGAGGATTAACAGTTGAAAAGCAAAATCTGAAGACGCTGTCTGGACTCACTGTCCACTGTGGCCCTCATGTACACTGCGCTCTATGCCCTGCAGACACTATGAGAAGACTTGGTCTTTTCACCCCAGGTTTTATAGGCAGACTCAAGCTTACATAACATTTCCTTGCCCATCAGTATCCTCTCTAAATTCTGCTTGCACTATGTTCCCTCTTACTATGGCACTAATATTTTCAGATTTTTCACAGCAGGCTGCCATGGATAAAGTAATTTGTCTATATTTCATAGTTATTGTCCTATCTACCATTATCATCTATCATCTTACCTTGGGAAGCCTGAACCATATGCCTCCCTGCCCCATCCCATAAATTAAAAATTGTATTTATTAAAATGCATCACAAATGTTAAAGTAATGAATTATAAAAGAACTTGGCTGGGTGTGGTGGTGCATGCTTTTAATCCCAGCACTCGGGAGGCAGAGGCAGGTGGATCTCTGTGAGTTCAAGGCCAGCCTGCTGGTCTCCATAGTGAATCCAGGACAGCTGGGGCTACAGAGAGACCCTGTCTCGAAAAGACAAAAAGACAAAAAAACAAAAAAAAAACCTTAAAATACAATGGAGGTAAAAATAAATTGAGGTTCTCGTATTACATGAAGACCTTTACTTTGAACAGGTGATTAGGGAAGAGTAGCCAATGGTAAATATATCATTTCTATCCAAATCAGGTCTTGCAGAAGTACCTGTTTGTTTGCTTAAATATAAAGTGGATAGTGATCACTTCTGTACATTTAGTATATGGTATAAATAATCTGAGGATCTTTTTATTTATTTTTTTATTTTATGTATATGAGTGTATTGCTTGCATGTGTGTAAGTGCACTCATGTTGTGCAATGCCCGTGGAGGTCAGAAGAGGGCACTGGAACTGGAGTTAAGGACAGTTGTTAGCCACCATGTGGGTGCTGGGAACCGAACCTGGGTCCTCTGCAAGAGCAGTCAATGCTCTTAACCGCTGAGCCATCTCTCCAGCCATGAGGATGTATTTTATTAATCATTTATAAGTGAAACAACAAAGAAATCTTGTGTATGACTTTAGAAAGTTAACACCATCATATGAAATTAACTCAGAAGATTTTAAGGTGCTTAATTATTGGCTATTGTGGCTCTTACTGAACAGCTCAGACTGGTGACTCTCCTCCTTTGTTGGGGCTTTTTGAGACCAAGGCCCCGTCTTATAGCTCTGAACCTCCCCTTGTGCTTACCCGTGTGACAGCTATAAAGCAGATGCTCAGTAAACTCAGTGACACTAAATGAAAGTCTGGAGAGTAAACTTGTTACACTCCATTTCCTGAGCAAGAAAATAAGGCACATGTATTGTCATCTACATACAACTGGCTTGAAAAGTTATACCTGAAAGACTCGTACTTGTTAGTCTTCCAACTAAAAGTTCACTTTTGAGCTAATGTTTGCGGTTCTTTGCCATTAAGCACTCCCATTCCTGCCAAAGTGCTCACCAGTCGGTCCAAGCTAGTGCCAGCTGCTGTGGTTGGGCGTTGCTCCGGATGATAAGGTCTGAAGCGGGCACTGAAGGCACTTTCAGAGATGGAACGAGAAATTCGACCAGCTGGGAGTGGCTTGGGGGGCCCACATCCCTGGAAAACCTGTGTTGGAGGTAAGTGAGTTTAAATTAGGGAAGCAACATAGCAAGACGGAAGGGACCTCTCTCTCTCCTGCCCAGCCTCCAGCCTCCATTACCTTCTGTGACACTTGCACACTATTATCCTGCATGTTCATGATAGCATCAGAAATCTTCACATCGATGGGATCCATGACTGACTCAATGTTGAAAGGACCTTCCAGCCTCTCTGCCACCATCAGCATGGCATCTAATGGGGTTATGGGAAGAACAATACAGCACAGAGTATCTCAGCCTTAAGTAATCAGACTGACTATATTTTATTGCCTTTGTTTCCTATATGGAGTGGTGTGTGTGTATGTTAAAGCCATATTTCTCTTCATTCATGTTTTTCTACCCATTTCCATGACACCAAACTGCATTTCCTCATTATGTATCACTAGCCTGGTAAAGTGTGGACTGGCCTGGTCGAATGAATGCTTTGTTCTGTGGCAAGGAAAATTCATCCAGGAAATCTTCCATCATCCAGATTATTCATTCCTTAGCATGTCAGCCAGCACCCAGCTAACAATGCTAAGGCTGAGGGCAGAATAACGTGCCAGTTCTCCCAGAGACTTTGCTAGGAGCTTTTCCTTTCAGGTTCTATTTACAAGAGTCAAAAACATAAATCAGTTACAACCCCGGCATACCAATTCTTTCCTTTCATTTCTTTTAATGAAACCTTTCAGATCCTTGAGTGCACAGTTGGAAAATACAAATGAAAGCGTTCTGGGAATTCTAATGACTTCAAATAATGAAACTTTGAGTCATGCCATTTTGGGGCTGAGATAAACTTCCCATTTCAAATGCGAGGACCTCAGTTTATTTCAAAGTAATATATGTGCCTCTTTGTATTCTTGTAAAACCATGACACAAGACACAGCACACAAAAATTGTCTGTTCATGGTACGTATCTTTACTGATACCTGAAAGTCACTTTAAGACTTTGTAGGAACCTGGCATTTTCCAACAAGCACTGGCTCCCTTAAAGAAAATCAGTTGTATTTGTCTTGCCATATACGCCTATTGGGGTTATGAGTTAGTACTTTTGCCTGAAAGCTGTACAAAATTAGAACTCTTGGAAATAAAATCCTCCAGGGAGAAAAATGGCTATTATCATTAATGATAAGCACTGAATTTTAAAAGAAAAGATTTGTTATTATTTTTCATTTTGTGTGTGTGTGTGTGTGTGTGTGTGTGTGTGTGTGTGTACACTCACACTTGAGTGCTGCTGCCTATAGAGGCCACAGATCAGACCCCCCCACCCCCAAGCTGTAGTTACAGGCTCTTGTGAGCCATGGAATGTGGGTGCTGAGAACTGAACTCGATTCCTCTACAGTAAGTGCTCTTAAACACTAAGCCGTTGCTCCAGCCCCAGCAGCTAACTTCCAAACTTGGTTTTGTCTTTTATTCTCTATAGCTAATGGAGACAAGCAAAGGAACCCCCCCCACACACACACAAAGTCCTTTCCTTCAGGTACTTCAAGGTCAAGTTCTAAAAAGGAAGGTTCCTTTCCAGAAGGCTGGATGTCCTCTCAGCTACTGTCCCCCTGCTGAGCTTCCACCTAAGCTTTCCAGTGGAAGGGGATTTTAACCATTATCATATCAATGAAGTCAAATTTGGTTGCCAACCATTCACCTTCAACCTAGAACAAACACTACAGAACATTTTAAAGTTTGAGGCCATGCCTTTAAACTATAATTTCAATGTCACAAACAAGGAATGGGTTTTTGTGAAGTACAGTTTTTTAAAGTAGGAGTGAATAAAGTTTCAGATTGCATTGTGGTAAGCACCAATAAAGTGATGCCTCTAACCTCTAAGCAAAAGCGGACAGCATGAATATGCCATTGTACTAGAGGAGAGAAAAAAATGCTTTTGATGTGCTAGCGAAAGGAGACTTTTGCAAACAAGTGAAGCACAACTTAAATGTGTTCATCATTGTCAGCGCATCAGGGCTGCCACATACAGAAAGCACATTCTTTCATAAGCCAGGAAGAAATTGCTGGCTCCAAATAAAAATATTATGAATAGAGAGACAATAAACATCCAAAATGCAGAGGTTTGAATAAGAGGGAAAAAGGTGCAGTTTGTACCTACTCATTCCCCTAGTGGCAGGGAAAGGCCAGATCACTAATGTGTTTGTGAAAGACTGAAAGGAAACATAAACCCCGATTCTTCTGGCTGTTTGGCGGCTTTGTAAACTCAGAGACGCTGACCATACACAAGGGCCTGGGAATGGAGAGGGAAACCAGGCCTTTGTTGGGGCCGGTGCCATGGCGTTGCGTGTTGCACAGCTGAAGAATGCGACTGAGGATGCATTCTGCCCGTAGCCCACAGCCTGAAGCCAAAGCTGCCTATAACCCTGCAGGAAGTCACAACTGGCCATCCACTGGTCCTTCCGTAGCAGCCACGGCCCCCAAAAGAAACACCAGGAGAAATCCAAAGATGACTGGTTTGGGGTTTTATTTTTCTTCTGGATGACAGAGGCCACAGTTATATATAGAATATCCAACTGGCTCCTGCCTCCTGCCAGGAACTGGCTGGTATCCCTGCCAGTAATCCCAATACTAAATTCCCACTGACAACAACATGTGACATTAACAGGTTTGGCTCTGAGTCAAAGAATGTTAACACAGCCACGGTATGTGACAGTCAACAAGTTGAATCTAAGAATCATTTGTGAGTCTCTAGAAACCAACTTATTTTTGTGTAGTGTAAGGCAGGTACTTGATTTGCCTTTCAAATTGGAGGTTTCATATCAGCCTCTTAAAACAGTGTGTTTCCAAAGGTGTTGCACGTATTTAGGCCCATCCTGAAAAAGACTGACAAAAATCTCAACATTTACAATTTGTGGTGAAATACAGATACAATTGTGGGAAGAGGGAGAGCCTAGCAGCAAGAAGGCTGACTTGGAAGAGCCTGGCCTTGACTGGTCATCCCTCACTGTTCTCCAGAAGAAAGCATCCCTTTCTTGGGAATGGGGGTGGAGTAAATGAGGGTAATAGGGGTATGATCAAATACATTTTATATACATATATATGTGTGTGTGTGAAAATGTCATAATGAAACCCATTATTATGTATAATTAATATAGGCAATGAAAAATGTAGGGAGAAAAGTGTTCCCTTCTTACTACGGAAAGTGAGTCCTTTTTCATTGAGCCTCCAATAAATAATCAGAAACTTACAGCTTTAGCCTTCAAACTCAACTGGTAGAACAGGAGGCAGTTTCCCAACTTAACCTGAAGATCTGATTTAAAAAGGGATGAAAACAAATTCTTGATTGTTTATTAATGTATAGACATTTAAACAGCAAAGAAAACGAGAGAGAGAGAGAGAGAGAGAGAGAGAATAAACATGAACATTATAGCATGGAAATTTGGACTGAATTCTCTAACCATGGAGATCAATTAAATCATTGTGAAAATTTTGTGAAAAAAAGAATAGGAGATTAAGTATGTCTATCATCTCTGGCCTGTTATATTGGCTTATTAGACAATGAATAGTATATTCATTAAAAATGAGGTTTACATGTGATTACATACCTCATCACTCTAAAAAGTATCATTTAAAATAGCTGGGGAAAATAAATTCCAAAATCCCATCAATTTTCACTTGGGTACAATTTTGCTTCTTCAAAGACAGCACATGAAATTTAAAGAATACACTACAAGAACAACAGCAGCAAGTTAAGGCTGAACCATTAAATAAGCAAGCCCGAGTATAGCTTTGATTTGCTGTGATCTGTGAAGTCTTGGAAGATACGTAGAATTTGTGCTTTAATATAAGGACATGAGGGCCTTAGTGATAGTTGCTGCTGGACAGGTTGAAGTAACAGAGAAAAAGGTGGAAAGTGCTCCTGTGTCGCACTCAGGATGCCCAGGTAGGAAAGGGAGTGAAGGTGGATCACTGTCACCATACACTTTTTGTACTGCATGACAAACTCTACTAGGTTGCCCAGAGAAACGACTATTAAGAGGCAAAACTGAAAAGGCCCACCTTTCCTTCAGAATTATATTTCACTGGGTGTGATAAGGGTACACCTGTAATTCCAGCCATCTATCTGGAAGCAGAGGCTAGAGGATCATGAGTTGGAGGCCAACTTGAGCTACTCTTATCTTCAAAACCCAAAACTCCACACATCTCAATTTAGGAAGGAAAAGTGAGTGAACTGCAAATTTGGCATGTGGTTGTGGGGAGGATACAATGAGAAACGGGAGGAGAGAGTGAGGGGATGGCTTTAAATTGGGAAATGCCATAGTTTTCATATCCGTGTGAAATGGTTTTATTTCTCCCCTGGGTTTCATTTGTGCCTGTGTATTGTGCTCCTTCCCTTTCATGAGATTCTGCTTTTCTGTGTGTAAAATAGTTTTTCCGTGTTTTCCAGCTTTGAGCTATTTAGGCTACAATTATGCTGAAATGCTTAATATTCACATCTTTTCCCCCCAGTGTTTACAAGAATCTGTTGGAGCCAATTTATTGATGTACTTTCAAACAAAGTCAATATGGTCATTAATTCTCATGCAGACTAAAAATCATTCCCCATCCCAATCCCCTCTACTCCAAAAACTGTAAAACAAAACAAAACAAAAAAATCAACAAACAAAATGAAACAAAATAAAGCAAAACTGAGCCAGCAAATTACATGCTCACTCCCATGGTGTGGAAAATTTAATGAAAACTTGGTTCCTATAAAAAGACTTCCATTCTGCAAATGTGACTTGGACACGGGGGGAATGAGTATGTTTTGTAAGCTCTTAGTATGCATGCAGGATCTCAGCAATGCTCGGCAGTGGGACTTTCATGACTGGCCACTGAGGTTTCAGGACTGATGTATACCCTAAGTAGTGGCTAAAGTTGTTGATGGCTGGATGTTTAGAGTAGGCTTGATTTGTCCTTTCCCTGCCCCCAAAATAATTACCCCTCTCAGAACCTAGCCAATTCGCTTAGAGTGTTATCTGGGTTCTAGTGCTGGTTTCCCAAGTTAAAAACATATGCAGGAATCATATTTCTTAAATAATTAGGGCAAGAGTCTATCCATTCACCCAAGAGTAGTGTACCATGGCTAAATCCCCTACATAAACAAAATCCATTCAGAAATTTTCACATCATAGTTCTCCCAATCCAAAGAACAACTGGGTATCTGGCCAGCTTGCCAAAGATTTGGTTGTGGTGTAAGAGAAGGAATGGAGTGTGTGTGTGTGTGTGTGTGTATGTGTGTGTGTGTGAAAATGCATACATGCATGCACATGTGTGAAGAGGCCAGAGGACAATTCCAAGTGTCATTTTTCAGGAAAGCTACTGCCCACCTTAATTTTTGGAGACATGGTCTGTGTTTACCTGGAGCTCACTGATTAGGCTAGGCTGGCTGGCCACTGAGCCCCAGAGATCCAGGTATGTCCTACCACACCCAGATTTTGGGGGTTCTAGAGATCAAACTCAGGTCTTTGTGCCAGTAAGGCAAGTAAGCATTTTACCAACTGAGCATAGCCAGTTCTGCACCTGAGCAAGAACATTTCAAAAGCCATTTTCACAGTTCTGTGAAGGCTGTACTCTAGAGCGGACATGAAAACAAACCTAAGATGAACACCAATATTGAGTTTTCAGCAGAAAATATAAAAAAGGCCTCCAAGGCACTGAAAGTCAGTACATCTAACTGTCATCAGAAATGCCATCATTAGTTCAAGGGAACACTGGCTTGTAGCGATGATCTTACTAACCTAAAATGTACTGAGTGCAACATAGCCAGGACTCTGGAAAACATCTAATACTAAAGTGAATAGAAATTTCCATAGCTGCCCATTACAACAGTCCTTCTGGCTGGAAGTGGAGTCATCTCTAGTAATACAAATACATCAACTGCTAGCTCACCTATGAAATTGTTCCACTCAAAATCGAGGTCACCTTGGTTGGCCAAACAGCCTCTCATGATGTTTGAGCAGTAGTTGTAACATGGTTTCACAGTCACGAGGCCCCGGCAGTGGGAGCAGTAGGTCATCTTCAGCAGCGCTTGGCTGCATTGGGTTGTGGGGTTCACCTAATGTGTGACAAGGAAAAAGAAAGTCATGTTAGGTTTAAAATAGAGAACTTTAGAGACTATCCAGTTGACATTGGAGGACTGGCCATGAATTTAGGGATGAGTTATTACTGATCACAATTAGGAAGCTTGCCTCTAATGGAAATGAATTAGAGTGAGATTAAAACAGATGAAAACAGGTGCTGGAAAGAGGGAGTTAGAGTTGGAGGTATGACTTGTTTGTGTGGTGTTACTGGGAATGGGAGGCCTCTGGAAATGGCCTGGTGCAATCGGTGCTTTCCAGTGCCAGACAAATCCAGGTTGTTCTCACATACTGATTACAAGACTGCCATTTGAATCTTAATCCACCACTATGGTTTACAAAGTTACCTTGCATACACTGTTCTATGCCAAAAGCTATGCAGAGGCAGAAAAAATGTATTCCACAGGGTCAAGAATGAATAGCATTAAACCTTGGAGGGCTTCTGGACAGTCAAGCATGGAGGGCTCTCTAAACACATGATGGAAGAGTGAAGCTTCTGTTAAATTTAGAAGAGGCCAGTAAATTTAAGTGGAAAAGTAAAGAGAGATCATCCCAAGGAGAGCAATGAAATTATGAAAAACTCAGAGTGTGTACCGGGTACACAACATGGCTTTTCAGATGGGGTGAAGGCATTTGGGACAGTAATGTTGGACTCAGAGGAGTATGTGTGTGGCCAGAATTTGAATAGGCTTGAACACCAAGCAGAATCTGAGACACCATACAGTTGAAAGACTGTGAGCACGCCAAGCAGCAAGCTTGAAACAGTACTGGAGTCAGACTTGGCTAGTGCAGAGAAATGCATTTAGTTTCATCTTTCTAGTTCTGCAAGATAAAATGATTTGGGACACAGAAGAGTCAGTTCTATGTCATTACACATTTCTGTCAATACTTAGAAAAGCTCATGGCTGGGTATCCCATGCCAGAACTCCTGTCTCTCCTGCTCTGTTCTCTTTCAGTGCCTTTATCAGAGGATTAGTGCATTCTTCCCTATCACTGCCAACTAGTTCTTCAAACACAGACCTTTAGAAGCAGATACTATCACGGGTAGAATATGCCAGGGTGCAGGGTGGCTGGCTATGCATGTCACCTGCTTTGGTGTGTTACTTTGGTTATCACTTAGCAACAGTACCCTTAGGAACAGGAACAGGAACAGGGGATTGGTACTATCAGGAGGAAAATTTAATATTCTCACGATCCTGTCTGGCACACACACACACACACACACACACACACACACACACACACACACACAGATACCCTCCTCCAGCTTATCCCAAACACAACTCTAGCCTACAAGGGGGGAAAGCATTCAACAAGAAGATGGTAATTATATACACTAAAGTCAAAGACTTAGGGTTTTTCCACAGTTCTAACCAGTCCCAAATGTTTTCCTAAGCATTAAATTAGTCCCTTTAACTGCGTATTAATGTACAGCAAAATCTTGGCTAACCAATACCCTTAAGGAATGGTCCTCTGGATAACTAGGTTTTCTGGATAGCTAAAAGTTCATTCCTTTAAAGTCACACATTGTTAGGACTTTGATATTCATCAACCTGTCATTTTACAGATGAGCAAACAGGCCTTTAGGAGGGAGGATGTCCAAGTCATAGAATCACAGAAGTCTGTATTGGAAAAGGCCTTCCTTAGTCATCACTGATGTTGCTTTTACACTAAAGAGATCAGAAAACCACAGCCTAAGAGAATAAACAACTTGCTGACAGTTACCCCTACATTTGATTGCGGTACTGCACCTTATCAAACATTTGTAACACAAAGACGTTCCAGATGTGTCACGTTTTCTTGCCATCCTAAATAGAAGAAACTCTATTCATAGGCATTGGTTGTTTTCTTCTTTATTTTTAGTTCGTTTCCACATGAGAGAGACTGATCAATGGTTGGATCTTAGAGAAGTAATGGTTATGTAAATAACTTATTAAAAACCACAATACATAGTGGTTTTTGTCCTAGCATAGGGGAGGCAGAAGCAGATGAAGATGACCTTATGAGATCAACGTCAACCTGGTTTACTTAGCAAGTTCCAGGTTACTACTGAGAGACCCTGTCTCAAAACAAACAAAAAACCTTATAATATAATTAGATGTGCTAGAGCATGCTTCTAACCCGAGATTTGGAGGGCTGAGGCAGGAGGACAGTGGTGGCAGTTAGCCTGGGTTACATAGTGAGGCCTTCTCTCAACAAAACAACAGCAACAACAAAAACAGAAATGAAAAAGAGAGAGAGGAGAAAGTGTAGAGGAGGACAATGGAAAGGGGGAATTATGGAGCAGCACTTGGCAATGATAAATATTATGCTTAAGAGTAGACAATGTGTCCTGGTAAGAAGAAACATAGAATATTGAGTATCTGCTATGTGCCAGGGAATATTATTTGTGTTAGGTATCAAAATAAGTGAAAATTTCCAGGTTAGGATATGAAACCTGTTCTATGAAACACAAAGACCATTGGGAAGCAAACAAAAATGTTCAAGTCAATTATATTCAGGAAGTGTTTTCCAAAGCACTTTTCTACTATTTCTTTTGATGGGGTGGAGGAGAGAGCTGCCGAAAGCAATGTACTACATCCTTAGTCCAACGGCAAGTTAAATCATTTGCGCAGTAGACCTTTAAGTACCCTCCCCTAAAATCATCTGATGGAATCTCAAGTTTTAAAATCAGAGACCAAGCAAAATGATACTGTAGAGTTCGTCAAAGGATGATTCTGAAGCTGGGTTTGCAACGTATTTTTTTCTATTTCATTCTTTGGCCAAGTACTTACTGGCTTACAAAGCAGCTGGCTATAACATGCTATGGGAAAACTACATTATACCAGAGATGAAAAGAGAGATGTGAAAGTTTTTTAAAAACTGGGACAGGAAAGGGCATATAAAACACTAACGCTAGAGAAAAGTCTTTTGTCCCATAGCCATTAATCAGACCACCAAGTGATAGTTCACATGAAGGGAATTCTGAACCTACAAAGCAAATTCCATGTGTGGGATGAGACTCTCGCATAATGGGATGGCTTTTTAAACAGTAAGGACACCTAGAGAAGCAGGAGACCCCCCAGACGGCCTCCTTTTTCTGGAAGACTTATCAATGAAACTACCATTCTAGACCTTGGAGCCCCACCTTCACCAACCCGACCAACCTGAGCATGGTGGAGTTGGTGTACCAAGGGTTAGGCAGATCTCTGGGAGTTCAAAACCAACCTGGTCTACAGGCCAGCTGGGGCTACAGGGGGTCTCTGTCTCACCCCCCACCCCAAAAAAGAAAGAAAACATATGTGGTAAACTCAAACTTTGTTGAGACCTTTTTTTTTATTATTTTTAAGAGAAACTCAGGTTCATTTACATTTTATTCCCTGGTGACCATCAAAATCAAGTACTTCCTTTGAACCCTCTGAAACTTATTTACTGAAGTAGATTTGCTCTTGAAACCTAAGTAGTAGTAAATCATGCCACACAGGGAATAACAAAAAGGGAAATGTACTCCAAGGTCTTCCTTTAATTCTCAGTTACATGTTTCCTCTATGGCACAACACAGCACTTAAAATGTTCAATTTGAGTGTTACTTTGGGGCACAGCTCTTGACTAGTAGCTATTATGCTTTTCTTTCATTCAAGAAGATCTGCTGACTCCAGACATCAGTGCCTTCCAGAAATCTTGGTGCTAGGGTAAGAGCAGGGGTAGAGCTTTATGATCATATTTTACAAAAAAGCCGAATCTTTAGACTTCTCTTAGAGATGTAGTAATTTCTTAAAATCATTAGAATAGGAAAATCTCTGTCTCTCTCTCTTTCTCTGTCTCTCTCTCTCTCTCTCTCTCTCTCTCTCTATATATATATAACATATATATACTTTTCCACTTTTGAACCCAAAAAATGGTTTAAAGCACTCAGAGAAACACTATTTTTTTTTATGATTTTGTGGTTAAGAGGGTGTGGTGGTTTGAATGAGAATGTCCCACACAAGCTCCAAGTAATTGGACATTTTGTCCCCAGTTGGTGGTGCTGTTTTGGGAAGTCTTAGAAGGTGTGGAGGAAGAATGTCACTTGGGGCAGGCTTAGAGAGTTCTTAAGCATTGCTAGATCCTGAGTTGCTCTCTTGCTTCCTGTGCCTGCTAAAGCTGTAAAGCTTAGCTTCTGCCCCTCCTCTAGCCACCTCTGTGGTCATGCCTCCCCGCCAAGACGGACTGTAACCCCCTGGAACCATAAGCTCAAATAAAGTCTTCCTTTCATAAGTTGCTTTGGTCAGTGTTTCCATCACAGCAACAGAAAAGTAACTAATACAGAGGGTGTGTGTGCACATGTGTGTGCATACATGCACAAGCACACTCGTGTAGGCTAGAGATGAACCTTGGGTCCCTCAGGCACTGTCCACCTTGTTTTCTGAGACAGGGCCTCTCATCTGTCTGGAATTCACAAATCAGGCCAGGATGGCTGGCCAGCAATCTCCAGGGATCCATCTGTGTCCCCATCCCAAGGGCTAGGATATAAGCATATACCACCATGCCCTACTTTTTTTGTTTCTGGGGATTAAACTCAGGTCCTTATGTTTGCAAGACAAGCGCTTTGCCAACTGTGACCCAACTTAGGAGAGGCATAATGTCAAGATTGAAGAAGAGAAATTCTGTTTTATGATTTAGTTACAACAAATAATTTTGCTAGATTTTATTGATTCTTATGATTCATTTATGGAACACTTAATATGTACCAGGTTCTGGTCTGAGAAATATATTAACTACTAACTCACTTAACCCTTAAAATAATCATATAAGGAAAACATTATCATCTCATTTCACTATGAAGTAGAATTTGGGGATTTACAAAAGGTCTTTAGCTAAATGGGACAGCTGAGACCCAAGCTTTGAATCCAAGTTCCAGAGTGTGTGTACTCAACCTCCTTGATGTGTAACTTGAGAAAAATTATTTATTATTATTATTATTTTACATGTATGAGCGTATTGCCTGCATGTATGTAAG